TAAAAAGGGCTTACAGTTGGGAATCTTCCTCTGCCCCTTTGAAATGTATTTGTGTCTTCTACAACTCCGGAGACCTGAGAGCCATCCTTGAAAGAGCAATGCTCAGGAAGAATCCGGCCTCCATCTCGCAGTCCCTGGGGGAGGTCAGGCACCTAACTTCAACTGTTACCAGCTAGCACACACAGCTGGCCTACTCAGCATTTACACTGACCGACGCTTTGTAATTTTTCACTTCCCTGAGTCTGCTCAAGCCACCGCCATTCCCTCTCCCTCCTGCTCCCTTTAAAACACCCAGTCACCTCTGTACAAAGCAGAGTTGCAATTTACACTGCAACAGCATGTTACTGATGAAAATCTGTCCTTACCACTTTAACTAGTGTCTGACTTTGTCTATCTTTCACACCAGCACAGGGCCTGACTCATGGAAGCTTCAGGATGATTTAAGTGTTTCCATTCAGCACACTAAGTCACCCATTGCAGTAACCAAGACTGAGTTGCAAGTGACAGTCACTCAACTCAAATACTTACCCAGGCTAGTCAAAGGTGGGAGGGAGTTCAGTAAAGGAACCTAGAGGTTAATATCAGCTTCAGGAATAGCTGGATCCAGGGGCCCAGACAACGTTGCTAAGACTCTCTCACTCCCTCTTTCAGTGCTGCTTATCTCTATGACTCTGTGAGTTGACTTCATTCTCTCCTGCCACAGTCTCCCTCCACATAGTGTAAAGACAGCTGCCAGTTACCTTTACATCCTAATTCCTTATGTTTGAGTTGGGAGAGAATGCCCCTTTCTCTCTCAGCATTTACAGTACTCTTCTAGAATGATTCTGATTGGCTCTGCTGAGTCACATGTCCACCACCTAGGACCAATTACTGGGGGCATTGAGATAGGGAACCAGGTTTGGCTCTCTAGAGTCACATGCCCACATCTTGTCTCCTGCCACCCTGTGGAGTGAGGGACACAGTTCCTCCAGAACCACATGGGATGGGGAAGCGTCCGTTCCCCAACAGAAAAGGGGATGCTGAGCTGACAAAACAGATGCCAGAAGGGGCATCTGGAGGAGCCGGAAGGGCGGATCTGTCGGAGAAGGTGGATGTTGGTATCCGTGGGAAGTGTGGGTGGAAAGGTGGGACTGAATGGGGAATGCCCTGGGGACACAGTTGAAGGAGTGTGAACAGTGAATGATGATGAGGTTTCGTCTGAGATAGCCCGAAGCCTCGGGTTGGATAAGTCCTTCCGGCAGGGTGAGGTGTTGGTTTATAGCGGGGGAGACGACAGTCGCGTGCTAGACACTGGCTGTACCTGCATTATTTAATCCTCCCGACCACCTTGGCAGGGGGGGATGCTGTCATCAGTCTTCACTACAGAGACAGAAAACAGAGCTCAGAGTGGTTAGGAACCTGCCCAAGCTCACACAGGTTAGGAAGGGGCAGTGCTGGTACTTCTGACTCTGACTCCACTTGGGCCCCTCCTACCCAGGATCTGCACCACGGACGACCACTTTGCCCTCATCCTGTTTGCAATATCTAAAAATGAATAGCAAGGCGGTAAGGGTGTCACCACGGAGCAACCGAGGCCGAGTCCTTACCCTCTACAGACCTCAGGCATCACACCCTCGAAACCTGCACAACACAAGCTGGAGTCACACCAAACACCTTGAACATGGAAGCGCCCAGGGAACTGTACGCATGCGCGAGGCCGTGGGGATGGGGAGGGCGGGGTGGGAGCCCAAGGGGGCGGGGTCAAGACTCGCGCCTGCTCCTCGGCTTTCGAAAGTTACCTGGCTGGTGGGGGCTGGGGTTGGGGGAGTTACCAGCTGCGCGCGCGCCGACCCCGCCCCCAACCTCTTCAGGCACCTGTTGGCTCGAGGGCCCCCTCAGCCGCGGCTGCCATCCAATAGGCAGCCTCCCCGACCCAATCGGGCCCCGCCCACCCCCAGATCCACCAATCCGCGGGTGGCCGCGGCCCCTCTCTCCCTCGAAAGGGCCCGCCCCTCCAGGCGCTTCTTCCGGGTGGGGCCCCAGGCGGAGGAGATGGCGCCGTGGGCGCTCCTCAGCCCTGGGGTCCTGGTGCGGACCGGGCACACTGTGCTGACCTGGGGGATCACGCTGGTGCTCTTCCTGCACGATACCGGTGAGCCGGACCCCGCGCGACCCCGGACCCACCCAATCCCGCGTGGTTCCCCAGACGTTTGGGTCTCACTGGGTCTCCTGTTGAAGCCCCAGAAATCCTGGGATTCACCCCATTTCCGCCAGCTCCTGAGCCTCTTCCCCATCTATCATTCCAAGAGCCACCTGCCTCCTGCCTAGTACCCAGTTGATCCCTAATTAATCCCAGCATCTTCCTGATCCCTGCCAGATGCGCTGTGCATCCCGGGACCCATCCGGTGCCCACCAGATCCGACGAGATCAGGGAGCCCCCATCTCCCCTGATCCCGGGACCCACCCGGTCCTTCCCAGGAATTGACTCCCCACCGTCCCTCCGTAAGATTCCGAGAATCAAGTAGACCAAGGACTGGCACCCTGCCCATTTCCGTGGCCACTAGCTGCCCAAGTCCAGGCTCCCCACCCTCTGGAGCAAGAAAACACCGAGGGGAGTGGCCTGTCCCGCATTTCCCCATCCTCACTTCTTGCCCTGAGGTCCTCATCCACCGCACTGCCCCGACCCCACTAACATCCTTTCCCCTCTTTACCTGCCAGGCTGCCTCCAACCCAAGTTCTCACCCTCCCTCCCTGCCAACGAGGGTAGCCCCACTGCCTCCATCCTTGCTCCAGCCTCAACCGCTGGACTGGAGGTGTTGTCACTTTCCTGCCAAGACCTTCTCAAGCCTCCCCCACGGTGTTCACTCTTAATCCTAAAAACCTGCTCAGTCTCCCCATCAGAAAGGACCCCCCAACCCACCTTCCCTTCTCTGCTCCTTTTCACAACCGCGGGGCCCCAGAGCTGTCCACACTCTGTTATCTAACTGTCCCATGCCCCTCACTCCTCGCCCCTACTCCCCCCCAAATCCTCATTCACCCCCATGAGTTGGAGAGTCCCTGGCCAGCCCCTCCTCTATCTCTGTCTCATGGGCATATCAGACCTGGCTGGTCTCCCCATCATGGAGCCGAAGGCAGGGACCCCCTCCTCCCTCTCCCACACATCTAGTCAAGTCTGGCCCCTTCACCCCCTTCCTCCTTACCTATCCAGCAGCCCTTTGTCTCCACTCTTCCTGCCTGCCTGTGCGCTTGTCTTGTCGGCTACCCTCCTCTCCCTCCTGGATAGGCTCTCTGCCTCCAGGCTTCCTCCCCCCCCCACCCCATCTGTCTTTTCTCCAGCAGGAGGGTTTCCAGAAACAGATCTCACCCTGTAAGCTTACATGGTTCCCTATCGCCCTTTGCCCTCCAGATAAAATGCAGATGAACTTTTTTTTTTTTTTTTTTTTTTTTTTTTTGCTGGGCCCAAACTTCTCCCTCCTGTACCCTATGCAGCGGCCACACTTGCAGACTTGACCACTCATTAAACCCCATCTCCAGGCCTTTGCTCAGCCAGGGACAGACTCTCCACCTTCAGCTACATCCCCCTACACATAGCCTCCTCCTGTTCGCCTCCAGCCCCAGCCTCACTCTCCTTCTCCGGCCTCTCCAGCGCTGCGGCAGTGGGAAGAGCAGGGGGAGCTGCTCCTGCCCCTTACCTTCCTGCTCCTCGTGCTGGCCTCCCTGCTGCTCTACCTGGCCGTGTCGCTCATGGACCCGGGCTATGTGAATGTCCAGCCCCAGCCCCAGGTAAGCAGGGGGCCCCTTTCTCCCACCAACAGGACACACAAGGCCCCTGTAACAGTCTCACGCCAGGATCTGTGCAGAGTGCTTTGCGGGGGGTACCTCAGTGAATCCTCTTAGCGGCCCTAGAACCCCCTCCTACAATGAGGAAGTTGCCAAGGCCCAGCGAGGGGATACAGCTGAAAGAGGTCACACAGCTTCGCTTCACTCAGACCAGAGCATTCTGCCCTACCCTACCCCCTCCAAGACACAGGGGATGGGCCCCCAACAGCGCAGACCCAGAGCTAAGCTAGCCCCCAAGGGAAATGCCCACCTGTACCATCTGCCTCCCAAGGGGACCCTATCTTAAACCTCATCTCCCACTTTCAGGAGGAGGTCAAGGAGGAGCAGACAGCCATGGTTCCTCAAGCCATCCCCCTTCGGCGCTGCAGATACTGCCTGGTGCTGGTGGGTGACCAGGGACCTCCACGGGGGTGGGGGGGGGGAGCGCGGGCACCGGCGGGGGGGGGCAAGGTGGAGACTCCCTGACCTCCTGCCCCCATGCCGTGGCCTCCCCCCCCCTCCAGGAAGGCCTCCCAGATTGAGGCCCCAGCCTCCTGACCTCATCACTCCCCTCAGGGGAGCCGGCCTTGAGCCCTCCCCCCTCCATGCCCACAGCAGCCCCTGCGGGCCCGGCACTGCCGCGAGTGTCGGCGCTGCGTGCGCCGCTACGACCACCACTGCCCCTGGATGGAGAACTGCGTGGGGGAGCGCAACCACCCGCTCTTCGTGGCCTACCTGGCGCTGCAGCTGGTGGTGCTTCTGTGGGGCCTGTACCTGGCATGGTGGGTGCCACTGCCGCCCGGGGTATGGGGGGAGGGCCGCAGCATGCACCTGCAAGGTGGAGAGAGCCAGGACTCCCTCTTGGTGGCCTCGGACCTTCTCCCAAATGGCCTGCCCCCCCCCTCCCCGGGGCTCCCTGGGGCACCCCTGCCGTCCCCCCACGTTGCTCCCCATCTCTGTCCTGCCCTGCAGGTCTGGCCTCCATTTCTCCCAGCCTTGGGGGCTATGGCTGCGGTCCAGCGGGCTGCTCTTTGCCACCTTCCTGCTGCTCTCCCTCTTCTCTTTGGCGGCCAGCCTGCTCCTCGCCTCACACCTCTACCTGGTGGCCAGCAACACCACCACCTGGGAGTTCATCTCCTCGCACCGCATTGCCTACCTCCGCCAGCGCCCCAGCAACCCCTTTGACCGCGGCCTGACCCGCAACCTGGCCCACTTCTTCTGCGGATGGCCCTCAGAGTCCTGGGAGACTCTCTGGGCCGAGGGAGAGGACGAGGAGGAGGAGGGCAGGAGCCAGGCTGTTTAGGGTCGCTGGAGGCCAGGCCGCCATCTTGTGCCTGAAAACCAGAGAGGATGTGCCCCGCTGGGGTCGGCCCTCAGAGAGCCTGAGGTTCTTCACTCCTGCCTGTTCCTCCCAGGCCTCAGAGCCGAGCTGAATGACAGGACCCCTGCCTCAGTGGGCAGTTCTGCCCTCCAAAGGAAGAAGGGGAGGCAGAGGACCTGTTGGGGGGCTCGGGCACCAGCGACCTGGGCTTCAGAGACCTCCACCCCGCCTCCGACGCCAGGATGCCTCCAGAGGGCACAGTTTTACTAGTTTAATAATCCATAAAGCAAGTCAAGTATTAAAAAACCAAACCAAACTGCTCCTTGCTGTGCTGCCCTTTCCGGTCCAGGTCTCCCAGGGGGTGGGGAGCTCCCCACAACAGCCCCACCACTGCCACTTCAAGGCCCAAGACCCCCGAAGAACCCGGCAAGGCCCAGGCCTCCAGGGCAGGGCACGCAGCTGGGCAGACAGGGCGGACGTGCCAGAGAGGCCCTCAGGGCCCCAGGAATCCTTCTGACACAAAGTCGAAGTCTCGGAAGGCGGCCTGCTGGCGGGCGGTCAGGGGGCAGCGCGGGTCAGGCGGGGTCAGGGCCGGCGGCAGCCCCGTGAACTCGCCCTCGAAGTAGCGCAGGTCCGTAGGGCCACAGAGCGTGGGCAGGAAGGGGGGCCGGACGGTGCGGGCAAGCAGGGCCTGCCAGTCGGTGGTCTGCGGGCGAGGACAGAGCTGCCTGAGACAGCGAACAGTGGCCCACGCGGCCCAACGCCTCCCACTGTGCCAGACACCCAGCACCACTCACCCTGAAGAAAGGCTGGGTCTTGATCTCCTCTGCATCCTGCTCACCCGCTCCCAGGCGCTGCTCCGGGCACTTCTGCAGGAGCTGGGCAAGAGGATGGGGGGCTCACGGAGGGCACTCGGCCCCAGACACTGCCCACCTGCCTGGGTTCCCTAAGTGAGCTGGGCCACAGGGCCCCCAAGAGAATGGGTGGTGATGGGGCAGCCGTGCGCCACAGCCACTGTCCAGCCCAGCCCTGCCCAGCCCCTGCGGTGATTACCTTCTGAATGAGCTCGAGACCTTGCACCGACAGAAAGCGGGGATATGGGGCATCCGCGTTGACGATGCAGTCAAATACCTCCTCCTCTGTGTCCCCGGGGAATGGGCACTACGGAGAAAGGGGGCTCAACAGGGTGCCTAAGCCACCCCCACCCCACCCCAACCTAGAGGCCCTGGCAGCCCAGGTCCAGTGCTCACCTCGCCCACCAGCATCTCATAGAGCAGCACACCCAACCCCCACCAGTCCACAGCCCGTGTGTAGGCCTCCTGGGTCAGCACTTCTGGGGCCAGGAACTCTGGGGTGCCGCAGAAGGTGCTTGTCCGGTCCCCAAAGCCGATCCCTGCAAACCAGCATCCACACTGGTGCCGGCCCGATGTGTCTCATCCACATAACCTCAGTGGGTGTGAGAATCAACAGCCAGCCCTCATGACCTCAGGTACCAAACCCCGTGCCAAGCCCTGCCCCATACCCTTGGGGGTGGGAGCATTTTTATGCCATCAGACAGGAGGAAGCGGAGCCTCATCCAAGCTCACATGCCAAGGTCATGAAGAAAAAGAACCCGGTGCCCTCTCCCACCCTGAGTATGGTCTCTCCCTCTGGCTGAGGGCAAGCTGGGGTTCTTTAAGAGGGTCTAGGGCTGGGAAGGAAAAACCAGTATGTCCAGCTGGTCCCTGGAATGAGGGCTGGGGTGGGGGGTGCCCAGACCCTGCTGGCCTGGGCTGGGCGAGCAAGGCTGGAGGACAGGGGATGCTGGGCAGGAGGCACCCACCTTCCTTACACAGCCCAAAGTCTGCGATCTTCAGGAAACCCTGGGCATCCAGCAGAAGGTTATCCAACTTCAGGTCCCTGAGGGTGAGGGGGGCAGATCAAGGGGGCCCTGGAGCATCACAGGAGGAGGGCAGTGGATGCTCCTTTACCACCCCACTACCCGCCCCCCCCCCCCAGCACCTCCGGGGCAAGTTACCTGTAAATGATCTTTTTCTCATGTAAGAACTGCAACCCGAGGACCACACAGGCCAGGTAGAACCTGTGGGTGGCGTGGGGGGAAGTTGAGGCCCAGGACTGTGGGGGGCAGGGCAGGGGTACACCAGGATGGCCCTGGCCCTGGCAGCCCTGGGTGACCCAGCCAGAGTCAGGTTAGATGAGAGCCTGAGGGGAGCCTCATGCCAGGGGGAGGGGCAGGGGACAGCGGATGCTTCTGCAGACAGTGGCCCCAAGGCTGCTGCCCGCTGACAGCCTACCCTTCTTGGGCTCTGAGATTGTGCCCGGAATGATGCCACGTGTCCTCAGGGCTTACTCTCCCACATCCCCCCAGCCACCCGCAGCTAATACTCGTCACATCTGTTTTTCAAAGGAGGATCTAAGACTCCAGGTCAGGGATGCCCCTGGGGTCACACAGCTAGTGGCAGACCCAGACTCCAGGGCCTGCACTCTGCTGGGCAAGAAATAATTCCAGGGGTGTCTGGGTGGCTCAGTCAGTTAAGCCTCTGCCTTCGGCTCAGGTCAGGATCCCAGGGTCCTGGGATCGAGTCCCACATCGGGCTCCCTGCTCAGCGGGGAGCCTGCTTCTCCCTCTGCCTGCCGCTCCCCCCTGCTTGTGCATGCTCTCTCTCTCTCTCTCTCTCTCTGACAAATAAAATCTTTAAGAAAAAAAATAAATAAATAACTCCAGCTGCTAGTCACTCACTAGTCACAGGTTCCCGTACTCCACAATTTATAAACATTGGATTCATCTACCCAACAAGCCTATGAAATAGTTCTCATTCACCCCATTCACAGCTCCGTAAACCGAGGCCCAAGGTCACAGTGCTGTGAGAGCTGAAGAGAGCCGACAACCAGGATTTGAACCAAGGCTTCCCTGACTCCACACTGTTCTGCTGCTGGACACCCTGGGGGAAGCAGGGCAAAGGGAGCGGGCAGAGGGGACCAGGGAAGGCTTGCTGGAAGAGGCAGACAAGAGGGGTGGGCACCCACTGGGCCTGGGGCTCAGGGAAGACGTCCTCGTGGATCTGCATCATGAGGTCACCACCGGGTGCAAACTCGGTCACGAAGCAGGCGTGGCTAGAGGTCTGGAAGCAGGCAAGGAGGGAGAGCAGGAAGGGGTGCCCCGTGCGGCCCACGGCCTCCAGGATGCGTTTCTCGCAATACAGGCTGCGATGGGGGAGGGGGGAGAGGGGGCGTTTGGAGGGAAGGAAGACCCCTGATAGCTGAGCCCTGCCACCCACACAACAGCCCTGGCCCTCTGGGTCTTCTAAGTGCCAGGCGGTAGAATGATGGTTTCTACGTCTCAGGCAGAGAGAAGAGGGGACCCGCCCAAGGGCACCCAGTTAACCACTGCAGGTGCTAGAGAAAGAACCCAGGACTGGCTGGTCCCAGAGGGTCACCTCTTCAAAGCCCCAGGAGCACTCAGCTGCCTTCTGGTGCCCCCAGCCCAGGCCCACCATCCGGGGTCCCCTGCAGCACTGGGTGCCCACGGGCCTGACTACACACCTCTCCATCTCGTCCCGGCTCAGCACCTCCTGCTTCTTGAGCGCTTTGATGGCGTAATATTTCCCCGTCCCCTTGAACTGGACCAGGAGGACCTGGGGACCAGAAAGAGCTCGGGCTCCAGGTGGACAGCACGAGGCATCCTTTGCTCCCCCCACCCAGGGCCCCATGGGTCACAGCCTCCTCCCAGCTCAGGTGCTGGAGCCTGCTCACCCACTCCCACAAGACCCTCCTCAGCCCACTACCTTTCCGAAGTGTCCCCGGCCCAGCACGGCCAAGCAGCGGAAGTCCTGAAGCCGGGGGGGTTTCCTGCAAGAGAGAAGGCACGGGTAGACCCCTGGGACAAGAGCTGGGCCTCCATGAATTGCTGCTCCAAACCATCCACGCCCAGTCCTGGGCCGTCCCTACCAATGAGGCTGGAAAGCCCGGGGGTGGGGGTGGGGGTGGGGGGCTCCTGGGACAGAGGTTTCCTAGAGTCTAGAATGCAGCTGGAGCTCAATAATGTAGGTTTAGTGAGTAAGAACCTGAGAGCAAGGAGCATCAGATGATGTCTGAATGGACACGCAAACACCCGAGGGAGTAGGTAAATGTCTCAAGCGTAACAGTGAGCCTGACGGGGGTACCTGGTGGCTGAGGTGGGACGAGGCGGCCCGAGTCGCGTCCTGGGCTCCATGTGGGGGCGTTTGGTGCGCTGTGAGGGCAGAGGGGCTCAGAGCAGAGCCGGGCTTCCTGCCCTCTTTCCCTCCAGCCCTACCATCCCCAGCCCAGCAGCCCCCAGGGCCACCAGCACCCCCTCACCGGGATCTCCTCGGGGGTCGGCTCCCGGGGCAGGTAGAGGCGTGGGGGCTTGGGCGGGGGCCTCGTCTCTTCTCCCAGGGGGCTCTTCTTGGGTGGGAAATTACTACGCGGAGAAAGCAGACACGTGGTGGGGCACAGGCCAATGGAAGAGCCATGGGGACGGACACACAGCAATGCCGGCGACAGACAGACGGAGGGTCACAGGGTGAGCAACACCAGTTGCACCTGGAGAGAGGCAGACGTGGCAGGGAAGCGGGCAGCCAAGGCGGGGTGGCTCCTCACCTGGGCGAGGCAGAGTCAGTAGCTCCCCGGGGTGTGGCCGGGCTCTGGGGGCACACTTTGGGAGGGCTGATCGTGTTTGGGGAGCTGCAGGGGGGCAGCAGGCTCATGACCAAGCGTCCCCAGGCCGTCATGCTGAGGTTCATCTGCGAAGCCCTCAGGAAGTCCTGACCTGGGACAAAAGGGGGGCTCAGTCCCAAGGCCCCCAACGGCCCCTTCCCTGCCCCCTAACTGCACAGCCCTCTCCCCGTCCACACCTCTGCGTTTAGAGAAAATGCGTTTCTGCCTCTGCAGCCGGGGCCTCCTCTCAAAGACAGGGTCACAGAAGGTCACCTGCGGGGGCAGAGGGCAGGGTTGGAGACCGGTCCTCTCCCACCCCACCTGCCACCAGGGCACCTCGCTGTTCTCCAGGATCCCAGTCTGAGCCTCCAGTGGCAATGATGCAAGAGCCAGAGGGGCCCAGAGAGAGGGATTCAAGGTCTGCCTTGGTACCAGTGGGGAAACTGAGGCCCAGAGAAGCGAGGCACTTGTCCAGGGTCGCACGTGAGGCTGGGCAGTCAGGACCAAGACACGGGTCTCTAGACTCCCATGCAGTCCTCAGACAGGGGCTGGGGATCCTTAGATCCTGGAGACCCCCTCCCTCCGGGCCCCAATTTCCACTCCAATGTGCGGATGGGTCACCTAGTCTTGAAGGGCTTT